AATGCCAGTGGGATGCAGTGGTGAGTGTCGGACTAGGGTCTGGGAGACCTCTATTTGGAGACAGTTTGGTGTAGTGGTTAGGGGCATGGACTCTAATCTGGGAGAACCGTGTTTGATTCCCCACGCCTCCACTTGCACCTGCTGGATGACCTTGGGCAAGCCACAGTTCTATCGGAGCTGTTCTCTCAGGAGCAGTTCTCGAGAGAGCTCCCTCGCAGGGTGTCTGTTGTGAGGAGGGAAAGGAGGTTGTAAGCCGCTCTGAGACTCGTTTGGGTAGTGAAGGGCGGGGTATAAATCCAGTCTCTTCTCTTCTCTTCTCATCTCCACTCTGCTGAGTGACCTCAGGCCAGTTACACGCTCAAGCCAACTTACCTCACAGGGGTGTTGTGAGGTTAAAGTGGAGGAAAGGATGATGATGTAAGCTGCTTTGGGTCCCCACTGGGGGTGAAAGGCAGGGTGTAAAATGAAGTAAAATAAATTTGGGTATTGCACTTCGGGCCTGCATCATCAGAAGGGTTAATTATATTTAGCAGTCTCTGTTGGCACGTGTGTTGTCGGTTTATTTTTAGTCATTAAACCGATTGGCCTTGCTACTGTGGCAGCTACCACCGCTCTGCAAATTGGGGTGTAATTAGGGTTGCCAGCCTCTAGGTGGGGCCTGGAGATCTCCTGGAATTAGAACGGCTCTCCAGGTGACAGAGAGCAGTTCCCCTGGAGACAATGGCTGCTTTGGAGGGTAGAATCTATGGCATGGTACCCCCTGGGTTCCTCCCCTCCACAAACCCCTCATTTCCTAGGCTCCACCTCAGATATCTCCAGGTATTTCCCAGTCTGGAGTTGGCAACCCTGCATGTAGTACAACTAGGAATCTTTTCCAGAGCCTTGACAAAGAGGCCATCTTCCCCAGCCTGCTGTTAGGTCCTCTCAATGGAAATAGCCAGGACCTATCACATGATGAGCACATTCTCTGAGCCAGGGCACTGTTCTCTGCCCCTACACCCCTTGCCCCAGACACATGTACCAGAGAGTGTTCCAAGCCTGGGAGATCGGTGTGTCAGTGATACAGCGCATGAATCGGCTTGATGTCAAGTGAAGTAAGGACAAAAAAGGGGGGAAAGACTAAACCTAAAACCTAGAATTCAGAACCTATAAGGGTTAGTCAAGAATAGAAGAGGGCCAACTCTTAAAATCTAATTATGAAACCTAAAAAATATACATGTATTTATTAAACACAAATTAAAATAATGAATAAGGGCCCATTCATACCTCATATACAAATATAAAAACATACAAGGGCTAATAAGATAGACCTAACGCGTTTCGGCCTTTACAGACTGAATACAAATGAAACCTCCAGTGCATTTGGCTGTACGTGCTTAGGAGAATGTATAAGTTGACCAGAGAGAAGTACGACTGTACATGTGATTGCACTGGAGGTTTCATTTGTATTTTTGTATTTCTCTTCTTTGCCCAAGCTTTGGAACAATTGTTTTCTGGTCTCTATTGCATATTCTGTATAGCTATGATTGTATATATTTTTACATATCAGCCAACATGTTCTATTTGTATTAGACCTCTGAGGAAGGCCTGTAAAGGCCGAAACGCGTTAGGTCTATTTCATCAGCCTTTGTATGTTTTTATATTCGTATATGAGGTATGAATGGGCCCTTATTCGTTATTTTAATTTGCGTTTAATTAATACATGTATATTTTTTAGATTTCATAATTAGATTTTAAGAGTTCTATTCTTGACTAACCTTTATAGGTTCTGAAAGTGTTTGACGTGAACAGAATGACTGGCAGCAGCTCTACAGGGTCTCTAACTCAGAAAAGTCATTCCCAGCGCTGGCTGTCTTGACGTGAGCAAGAGTCCAGGAGCACCTCAAAGACTTAACAAGATTTGTGGCAGGGGAGGAGCTTTTGTGAGTCACGGCTCACTTAAGGCTGATGGATTTCCATTCCATATGGCAAAAAATGGAGATAGATCAAGACGGGTAGCCATGTTTGTCTGTAGCAGCAGAAAGGAGCACGTCCAAGAGCACCATAAAGACAATTGGCGGCGGGGTAGGAGCTTTCGTGGGCTACAGCTCACTTTTACAGGTACTCAGCTACCCGTCTTGATCTGCCTTGACATGCTTTAAGTGGCGATGCCAGGGATCGAAGCCGGGGGGTTCAGTATGCAAAGCGGATGCTCTGCCGTTGAGCTATGTAAAGTAAAGGTAAAGGTTCCCTTGCTCGAAAGCCAGTCGAGTCCGACTCT